TTTAAGAAATACCTCTAAATAATTGTACATGGATAAATCACAGATAGCCTCAGCATCCTTGTTTCTCGTTCTGGAGTATTCCTCTAAGACAGCTCCTGTCAAATGCACACCACAGAATTTGTTAGTTTTGACATTTAATAACGGAAAATCTCGGTCATAAAATCCCCACTGATTATATAAACAACAGCCTCCATTTGGCTGGAAAACATGCTCGGATATTTGTCCGCGGACATTATCTGTTCCGAGAAGTAGACTACGAGTGGTCCGTCTTTCGCTTAATCCGTCGAGCGAGACCGTAAATAAACCGCCCCAGGAGTTCGCGCGGCCATTTTTCTCTCGCGGTTGTCTTTCGCGTCACGCACGACGAACTAAGCAAAAGATGGACCACTTATAGTCTACCGAGAAGCGATCAGTTTGACACTCACTTCAGTTCCAAACGGTCAGCTTTGAGGAACAGACGATGTCCAAGGACAAATATTCGAGCATATTTTTGCCCCAAATGTAGGCTATAGTGTTTATTATCCTTCAAATATTTTTCGCACGGTTTTTGAAAATTGGGAAATATCACTCGGATAATCTCCAGTTCTAGTTGGGGAATATTCATTCACGTGACGCGTTTAGACCAATCGCGCACGAGCGATAATATTTGATGGATTATAAAAGACGATCTTTCTGCTAACGAAAACAATATTCCGGTTAAGAACTCCCCTTAAGTGAAAGTCATAAGCCCTCCGCCAAACTATCTTTCAATATTTCTTTATTAGGGAGCTTAAACAATGTCGAGAACAACACGCAATAAACAGGATCAAGTTGCCAACAACCACATTTCCTTTCGTTTGCATAAGTACGCTTAGTGATTGGTTTAAAACAACTTGCGTCATTTTCCTAACCAATCAAAAGTGGAACCATGACCAATAGCGACTCGCCTATGTAAGTTTTCCCGCGCTAAGCGTTGGCTACACGTATTTGCTATGAGTTATGATTGGTTCGTTGGATTGTCTGTGACCTTTGTGATTGGCTAGCCAGAGTAATTGATTGACATTTACCGAAGTTGTTATCATGCTTGTCCAGGAGCCTGTCTAGAATCAGACAATCTTCAAAGCCCTAAANACTTCTATTTCATGACAAAAAAAACTAATAGTTGACCAAAATTAATTTGATTTAAGAAATACCTCTAAATAATTGTACATGGATAAATCACAGATAGCCTCAGCATCCTTGTTTCTCGTTCTGGAGTATTCCTCTAAGACAGCTCCTGTCAAATGCACACCACAGAATTTGTTAGTTTTGACATTAAATAACGGAAAATCTCGGTCATAAAATCCCCACTGATTATATGAACAACAGCCTCCATTTGGCTGGAAAACATGCTCGGCTTTAAGCAATGACGATGGCGACATCCAGAACAACACGTAATAAACAGGATCAAGTTGCCAACAATCACATTTCCTTTCTTTGGCATAAGTACGCTTAGTGATTGGTTAAAAACAACTCGCGTCATTTTCCCAACCAATCAAAACTGGAATCATGACCAATATCGAGTCGCCTATGCAAGTTTTCCCGCGCTTAGCGTCGGCTACACGTAATTGCTTTGAGTTTTGATTGGTTCGTTGGATTGTCTTTGTCCTTTGTGATTGGCTAGCCAGAGTAATTGATTGATATTTACCGAAGTTGTTATCATGCTTGTCCAGGAGCCTGTCTAGAATCAGACAATCTTCAAAGCCCTAAATTAGAGTATTGTAAAAAAAAAAAATTACTTATCATAACATAGCTAGCAAAGTCGCGCTATTTAACTCAATATACGTAAACGTGTATGATTTAAGCCATACAGGACTTTTTCCGTGTTTACATAGCCTCATCTAAACACGAGGAGTGTTGGGAGAATTTGACACAGATATGTAAACCCGAAACGCAGTTGATGGTTGCATAACATTCGAGAATTCTCCCAACCCCCGAGTGTTTAGATGAGGTTATGTAAACACGGAAAAAGTGTTCTATTGCTGTTATAAAATAGTTCTCAAAAATATTCGCGAATCTAAAGCGTCACAACCGTGTTTACATACTCTCATCTAAACACACCTATCGACCAATGAGCGCAGGCGTAGTATCTCAGTTATTTTGTGAAAACAATTATGCACACTCATCGCGTGAGCAAAGTCAACTTCGCAACGCCATCCATTGAAAATGTTTTCAAATAATTGATTCATGCTTTAAGCTTTGCATCATTGAGTTATGATGCACTTGGGAAGATGCATGAAAAAGCAGGAATCAATAGCTAAATGATTATTAATACATTTCTGTATCTAAGTTAGCGGTAAATCTAAAATTAGGTCAAAACCTTTCCACAATGGTGCATATTACTCCGGGGGTGGCGGGTGGGGGTGGGGGNCAATCTTCAAAGCCCTAAATTAGAGTATTGTAAAAAAAAAAAATTACTTATCATAACATAGCTAGCAAAGTCGCGCTATTTAACTCAATATACGTAAACGTGTATGATTTAAGCCATACAAGACTTTTTCCGTGTTTACAGAGCCTCATCTAAACACGAGGAGTGTTGGGAGAATTTGACAGTTATGCAAACCCGAAACGCAGTTGATGGTTGCATAACATTCGAGAATTCTCCCAACCCCTGACTGTTTAGATGACGCTATGTAAACACGGAAAAAGTGTTCTATTACTGTTATAAAATAGTTCTCAAAAATATTCGCGAATGTAAAGCGTCACAACCGTGTTCACATACTCTCATCTAAACACACCTATCGACCAATGAGCGCAGGCGTAGTATCTCAGTTATTTTGTAAAAACAATTATGCACACTCATCGCGAGAGCAAAGTCAACTTCGCAACGCCATCCATGGAAAATGTTTTCAAATAATTGATTCATGCTTTAAGCTTTGCATCACTGAGTTATGATGCACTTGGGAAGATGCATGATAAAGCATGAATCAATAGCTAAATGATCATTAATACATTTCTGTATCTAAGTTAGCGGTAAATCTAAAATTAGGTCAAAACCTCTCCACAATGGTGCATATTACTCCGGGGGTGG